GCTGCCTTCCGCCGACGCGCTCCTCCTCCGCGGCAGGCGAGGGTCCCCCGCGCCTTGGGCTGCCGGCGCCCTGCCAGCCTGGCGCCCTCCGGGAGCCCCGCTCCTCCCCCCGGGCTCCCGCGAAAGCCTTTTTCCCCGCACCGCGACTGACCCGCTTTGCTCGCCAGGGTGCTCTCGGCCTGTTTGCCGTTGGGCCTTGGTGCCCGCGACACGGCTGGGTTCCCACGCCGCGCGGACCCTGCGCTCTGAGCCCCCACAATGGCCGGTTGGGCAGCGCCTGTGCGAACCGCCTGCAGCTTCTCTGCACTTTGTAGCCTCTGATGCCCCCCACGTCTTTGTTTCTTCTTCCCCTCAAGAAAAGCGAGCTGCCAGCATTCGAAGCCCTCTGTCTGGAAGGAGCCCCAGGTCCAGGGGTACAGTGCTCCTGACCCTGGAGGCTTCCTACTGGTAGTCTGTGATGGAACCTCCTTCCCCGCAGGACAAATACCGCCCCCCCCCCCATCAGTTAGGATACAGTTTGCCAAAAGGAGAGGATGGGGTCCAGGAATTGCTTTTGGACATCGGAACGGAGCTGGTCCTTCCACTGAAAACTCCATTCTGGATCCCCCGCCCCAGCTGCCTTGAGGCAAGGAGGCAGCTGGGAGATCTGGCCTTGGCCGGCTGGGGCCGCTGGGGGTCAGGCATCCCTGCTCTTCTTCTCCGATGCCACCCTCTGGTCAGGATAGCAAATCCCAGGGGTTGATTTGCCTTTTGGGCCACAGGAGGGGTCCCCGGGTTCTCTCGCAGCCCCTGGGCCTCTACTGGCACCATTGCCCGCCCACCCGGTGCTGTTTTCAGTCTTTTTTTCCCATGGCTGAAAAGCGTCACTTGCATCAGCTGGGCATGCAATCTGTCCAGTCTGAGGGCCTCCTCCTTCCTCAGTGGGAAGCCGCCGCCTCTCTTTCCTCTGTGTGCGTGTGTGTGTGTGTGTTTGCGCGTGCATGTAGATGTGCGTAAGCTGCTTTTAACAACCTACATAATACCAGCATGGCAAATGGTTCATCCCTGCAACGCTCTGCTGAAGATAGAAGAAAAGATGACATGCAACCTTGAAGGAAAAATATTGTGTTTGGGGCCTAGAAGCAGTTTTGTCCTTTATAACGGGTCAGAAGGTTATCTGAATTCTTCCTATCATCAACAGACCTCATTTGTTTGTTTGCTTGTTTTTACTGAAAAACACAGTGCTCCTAGTCCTCATGGATCTTTAGTTCTGTGAGTAGCTCTGACTGGCAGATGGTTCAAAGACTGTGTTGCTGGTTGGGAGGAAGAGAGGCGATTCAATGGAGTGCTGAGAAGCTGAAAGGCGTCCTGCCCTCGGGAGCAGGCAGGCCACAGCTGCCTCCCCAGAGCCCAAGGAACATTGCCCCCCCCCCCCTGCTCTGTGGCAAGGTGGCATTGCTGAAAGGCTCCTGAAAGACCCCAGTCTGAAATCTTGTGCCCCAACTGGTTTGTCTGGCCGATCTTGTGGTGGGAAGGCCCCGCAAGGGTCTGGTGGGTTGTGTCTGGAAGAACAGATCCTCGGAGCCTTCAGCAGGTCCTCAGGGCCTCCCTTGACACTGTGGACAGCATTCATTGTGGGACTGCCATTTATTATTTCCATTTTATGGCGGGGGGGAGCTGAGGCAAACCAAAAGTTTGCCCAAGCCTTGCAGTTGATCCATGCTAGAGATGGGCTGGGGCCCAAGTCTCCAAGGGGGCTTGAGCCTTTAAGGAGAAGGCGCGATCCTTGTGCTCTGGTGCACCGTTAGCATGGGTGCTAAGTATCGATGCTAAGATGCGGAAGCGGCTCCCAGGTTTACAGTTCCCTTTTGGACCTCTTGAAGAACCTGTGAGCTACACTGGAAGGCCATTTGCAGGAGAGGCCTCTGTTTTAGAGAAAGCTGAGTCAAACTGAAGACCAGAGCCCACAAGTGTGATTTTGCAAGTGGCACAGGAAACTAATTTTATCTCCTTCCTCAGCTGCTCCAGGCATGCAGCTCTTGACTTCCTCTCACAAGCCTGGAGAGAGACTGAACTCGTTTTCAAGACCGCCTCTCTTCCACCTCTTCTCTTGCATCTGGAGGCATTCCAGGGCTGTGTTTGGGCCTCATTCCTATTACCTTTCCATTCCTCGGCTGCTTGTTCAAAAGGAAAAAGCCTAGTCTGGAGGCCAGTGCCCCCTTGCAGAGCAGAGTCTGTTTGTTTGCCTCTCTGAGCTGTCCCTCCCTCCCTCTGGACTGGAAACTCTCCATTTAAATAGCTGCTCTTCAGCTGAGTGGACAGCCCTTCTAGGTCTCCATTTAAGTGCGGGGGGGGGGCACTCTCACTGCTGAACGGCTGAATAAATGCTGCTGAACTTGGAACCTGCTGGGGCAGGACATTTCCAGTGCAGTCCTGTAATGGTTTTGCAAGGCTTGGAAACAGAGAGGCCTGACCCCCCAGCCTCCCTGGGACAGGAGTTGGGGGTCTCCCTCCTGGTTTGGATAGGGGGAAGGTGTGACCTGGAGCCTACATTTCAAAATATTTTCTCCCTGATCTGCACCAAGCCTTTCCCATCCAAAGGCTCCTTCCAGTGCTTAAGGTGTCCCAGGACTCCTTCCAGTTTCCTGGGCTGATGGGAAGAGGAGCTGACGTGGTCTGCCAGCACCAAACCCCCGAGACTGTTTCACCATTCTTCCCTCCCTTCTTCCACATCATCTCTCCTGCAACAGGAGTCCTGTTCTTGCCGCTGCATCATGATTTCCAGAATGTCTTGGCCCAGATGCAGATCTGGAAATGCCCTTCTCGAGAGGCACAAGAGCTCCCTGAGGCATCCAGGAACCTTCTGCCACGTCAGTCCGGTGGTCGTATTTCACCCCGCCAAAGCAGCGCCCCGCTGGGCTTTTCTCAGGCGTGGATGGCTGAGCAGCCGCAGTCAGCCCTGAATCACAGTGGGGCAGCCGGCTGTGTGGCTCACAGCCCCTTAGCAACCAGCCTGACAGTTCTAGAATCCTGATCCATTTCCGGCCGGTTGCAAATCCACGGGGCCCCTCCTTTTGCTCAAACCAGGGGCTGGGAGTATCCTGGCTGGCTTCGCTGCAGGGGGGAACTAGTCATGGAGATGAGCTCAGCCACCAGGACCCCCTCTCGTGGGAAGACATCCCTGAGCCTTCTCCCCGAGTAGCCTCAGGAAAGCAGCCCGCGAGAGGCCAAAGCTGGGGGCCTTTGCAGAGGGATCCCCCGCTCCCTCCTGGCTTCTTCTGTCAAAGGCGTTGGGGACGGGGCTCAGGGAATGGCCCCATCCTGATAGGAGGCAGTTCTGAAAGCATCCCGCCGTCTTTCCGGAGAGACTCAGAGTGTCCCCTCGAGCTTCACTCAAGAAACCACAGGGCCTCTTCCCAGAAGATCTTTCTGCTGCTGTGGTGGTGGGAGAATGCTTGGCAGATGAACAGCCCGCTGGGTTTTGTTTTCTGGGTGGAGGTCCTGCCCGGCCTCTGTAGAAGGTACTTGTTCTGCAGGGCCTTAGGGAAATTGGGGCCGCACTTCAGGGGCACCACCGAGGTGCTCAGTTGCAAGCCTGACCCCGATCCTTCCCACCTGATTCCGGTTGCCTTCCCTGGACAGCCTCTATGGAGGTGGGCACCGTATTCTGGGAGCTTCTCCACTGCAGAGCTGGGCTCAGCTTTGGCATCCGAGCACAAGCCGGTCTTTCAGCCGGTGGGACTAAGGATCAGAAGCGGCCACAAGGGACCATCCAAGGAGCCAAACAACCGTCGTGTGCAGTTGTTTGGTGTTAGAGTTAGACCAATAAACGCATTTCTGCCCACCCTTTTACTTTTTAAATATATTTCCACTTCAAAAGCTGGATTTTTTACCACTGGGGGAACATAGCCTCAGCTTGACATTCTGGTGCATTGCACTGATTCCTTAAACGTCGCAAAGGAATGTTAACATTTTGAGGGTGGCACGTAACCTAGAAGGCCCTTTTCTTCTGATTGCGGCATGTTCTTCCCACCGCTTAGCCAACCTAAGAAACCCTTTCCCACTTCAAAAAGCCCCCCATGATGGTGCAGCTGGTACCTTTGGGCTCTTCTGAAGATGCAGCTGAACAGAAGAGAGGAAGTCCCTTGGATGTTGCAGAACAGAAATTTCCTGTTTACATAATGCAGTGAATTACCGAGAAACCTCCTTCCGTAGGAACTTCTTCTCGAAGGTGCAGCCTTTTATCTGGGCCGCCCTGCGGGTGTGTGCGCATTGTGTGCGTTGCGTGCTGGCCTTGATAAGAGGGGAGGTGTCTCTGTGGGGCTCCCCGAGCTGCTGTGTGGCCTGGTGGAGCACGGCTGCCTGTCTGTTGTCGTGGCAACAGGCTCAGTCTTTGTCCCCGAAACAGGCCGCGGAGATGTTCTTCCCGCACCCTCTGGAATGCAGCTTCAAGCCGAGCTGATCGCCCGGGGGGCCACTGCCAGCGTCAGGTGGGCCTTCTGCACAGACAGGAGGCTGTCCGGGGCCGTTACGAGAGCAGGGAGCTCCGCGGCAAGATGCTCCCCGTCTGTGAAGCGTCCAGCTGACTTTGTGCTTTTCCTTCCCCCAGAGCTGGATTTTCCTGATTTCGGGGTTTGCCGTTGGGCTGAGAGGGAGCAACGAATGAGCAGGAAAATGAACTCTGCCAGTCGAGGTGAGCACTTTGTCACCGTAATAGTCTCCCAACGTTTGTCGGCAGCGGGTGGATGGACGTTGGACTTGCACTTCCACTCCCCCACCCTGCCCCGTACTCGAGGCCATTAATATTTGATCAGATTCAAAAGCTTCAAGGACCTCGTAAAAGGCGGGTGGCTTTTTGGCATGAAAGCCCCACAGACCTGAAGGGGGGGGCAGATGGAGGTTGAGGAGAATTGCGCGGGGGTCCTCCTGGGATTGGAGGCTGCCAACCCTAACCCCAGCAAAAAGGTAAATGCTGCTTTTTTGGCGTTCCCCACCGGCCTCTTCCTCATGCACCCAGAAGGTCGTTGCTGAGAAAGCCAGTCCCAAATTCCTTCAGCCCAAGGCTAGGATCTGGCCTCCCCACCCCAGCAATTTGAGTACCCCCAGATTCTGGCAAGGGAGACCCTTTTCGAGGGAGCCACTTAAGCCCTGCTAAGCAGCAGCACGGAGGCCTTGGGGCAAGAGAGAGCTGAGATGCCCCACGCTCTCCCGTCTCCCTCCCTGGAAGCGGATGGCGGTGCCTCCACCCTGGGTCGGCCCCCCTCTGCCAAGAGAAGCGAATGATGAAGGATCCCCTGCGGGCGAGGGCTAAGGGATCTTCCCGCTGGCGGTGGTGGGTCGTTGTTGTCTTCGCAGGGCCTGGCCTTTGGGTGCCCAGATGGTGAAGGTGGCGCAATCCCTGGTCCCATGCGGAGGGGGCGAGGATGCGGCTGACCGTGAGACGAGTGCTAATGGTGGCGGGCTTCGCCGTGGCCCTGATGGTTTCCGTCCACCTGGGCCAGCAGGTGCTACAGTGCCAGCAGATCCTGGGCCAGGGCCTCAGCCGGGGACTGATGCGCCCTGAAAGTGAAGAGCTGGTGATGCTCGACTCCAACCGGGTTGAATATCGCTACAGTAAGGAGATGCCGCTGATCTTCATCGGTGGCGTCCCTCGGAGCGGGACCACCCTGATGCGAGCCATGCTGGACGCGCATCCGGAGGTGCGCTGTGGGGAAGAGACACGCATCATCCCGCGGGTGCTAGCCATGCGCCAAGCCTGGTCCAAATCTGGGCGGGAAAAGATGCGCCTGGACGAAGCCGGGGTGACAGACCAGGTCTTGGACGCGGCCATGCAGGCCTTCATCCTGGAGGTGATTGCCAAGCACGGGGAGCCAGCCCGGTACCTCTGCAACAAGGACCCTTTCACGCTCAAGTCCTCCATTTACCTCTCCCACCTCTTCCCCAACTCCAAATTCCTCCTGATGGTTCGCGATGGACGGGCTTCCGTCCACTCCATGATCACCAGGAAGGTCACCATTGCCGGCTTCGACCTTCGCAGCTACCGGGATTGCTTGACTAAGTGGAACAAAGCGATTGAGGTGATGTACTCCCAGTGCCTGGCGATCGGCCGGCTGCGGTGCCTCCCCGTCTACTACGAGCAGCTGGTTCTGCACCCCCAGAAATCCATGCGGGCCATCATGGACTTCCTGGACATCGCCTGGAGCGATGCGGTCCTGCACCACGAGGAGCTGATCGGGAAGCCAGGCGGGGTCTCCCTGTCCAAGTGAGTGGCCGGTGGGGCTCACCCCGTGGCCCGTCTGAGGTGGGGTCAGCACTAGCGGGGAGGCTAGAGCTTCCTCGGAAAGCCCAGGGCAGGGTCCCCAAAGTCTCCAGGCCAGACAGTCCAATCTCCCAAGTTCTTTCACACTGAGCTTGTGAGCCATCAAGTTGGCCTTGATCCAGCACGGCGGGCAGAGTCATTTTAAATGGGAGCAAGGAGCTTTTACACATACATTAGTAGCTTCCCCCTTTTTATCTTCTCGCTCCCCATCATTTTGATAGCCTAATTACTCCGCTCCACAGGAATGGCAGCGTACGGAGCCTTTAATCCTTGGCCTCCTCGTGTCACTGTACTGATTATAACACAACAGTAGGATCCTGTTTTAAATCCCGTCTGTGCATTCCAGACAAGTTTTGCTGGCTTGGTAGCAACTACGCTTTTCAGATTGTCGGTGGTGCTGATACGAACTCTAGTGTTCCGAAGGAACAACACAGGAGAAAGTCACAACAACTACAGCAGCCATAGCCCCTACCCGGCAACTGTTCCTGTTGTCTTGGAAAACCCCCTGGGCTAAGATGGAGCCTTTGGGCCGGCAGCCCTTTGGTCTGTAAACAGGCTTTCATCCTGGTTGCTCAGGGACTCGCCACAGTGAGGAGAAAAAAGCAGGGTCTTTGGAGAAACTATGACCTTTGGGGAGGCTGCAGCTAGGAAGGAAAGCAAGTGGAAGCCCCCCCCCACATCTATTGTCCTTCTGCACCTTGTCTCTACACAGGATCGAGCGATCCACGGACCAGGTGATCAAGCCTGTGAACATGGAGGCCTTGACGAAGTGGCTGGGACACATTCCGGCAGACGTTGTGCAGGACATGGCCCACATTGCCCCCATGCTGGCCAGGCTGGGCTATGACCCCTATGCAAACCCTCCCAACTATGGCAGCCCAGACCCCATGGTGATCAACAACACCCACCGGGTGAGTGCCGCAGGAGTCTTTCTCTCAGGGCAGGTCCTCGTGTGCTGGTTGGGGTCTTCTTCCCATCTGCAAACTGGATTTTTATAAGCCCCTCCAACCCTCCTTGCTCAGAGCAAGAGAAGCAGGCTTTGTGCTTGCTAAAGGTGGCCCAGTAAGCCCACCTTTTCAACTGGGAGATGCTGACCGCATCGCCGAGCAGAGGGGTGAAGGGCACATTCCTGGCTGACTCTGTGCTCCTTTGTGCCAGGTTCTGAACGGGGACTTTAAAACACCTGCCAATTTGAAAGGACACCTTCAGGTAAGTTTCTTCGCCTCTGTCCATGCTTTTATTTATTTTATTTATTTGTCATATTTGTATTTATATTTTCTCTTCCCCTGCAGAAATGCTCCTAATTTCTGTAAGCCTACCAGCCCCCCCCCCCAAAAGTCTTTTAGTTCTGGTGCTGGATAGTTTTCAAGGGCAGGGGCAAAAAGGATCCTGAAATAAGAATGTTCCCATCTTTGAAATGCTGCCCCATTGAGAGGATCCTGTTAGGCAGTGCTGTTTTCTCTTGGTGGTGGCTTTTCCCTGCATTCTTCTCTGACAGTTGCAAGAGCACCTCCTCAGATGCATAATTGCCTATAGTTTAAATCAGTTTGGGATTTTTCTGATTGGGATATTGTTCCTGCAGTCAGGAATAGTTAATCTAGTAGTATGTGTCACTTAAATCTTAAAATAGTGTGACTAATTTTGTTCCTATCTGGACATGTTTGGGAAGTTAGAAGCCCCAGATCACCCACCAAATGAAGCTTTCCATCTCAGAAGCTGTGTGACCTTTCTCTGTGTTTGACTTTTGCAGGGGACTCTGAATACTACTGCTTTTCATTGACCAACCTAATGATTTCCAGGTACGTCTCGGGGCGCCCCAGCAGACCTAGTCTCCCGCGTGGGTGGGGTTCCTGATGCTGGGAGAGTAGACTCTCCAGAGTCATCCTCTCAGCCCTGAATTTGCACAAAACGAGGACACCGTGGCTTGCCTCACTGAAACACTATGCTGACACATTCCAGGAGTAATTCTGCTTTTTCCCGCTGGTCTCCTTTAGGTGCAAATTGCTTCCCGTTGTTCTGAAAAGAAGAAAATTTGCAAACAGTGACAGTGGAAATCCATTATCCAAGCATATTGCTTGCTATTGATGTTGCCAAATCAAGTGCTGTCTGCAAAACACTTTTCATTTTGCCATTAATTTGTCAAGTCTGGACTTTCCAATTCCTGGAAAGAAATCGCGTTCCAAGTTTGGACACTGCTCTGCAGTGATACATGTGGAAATTAAAAGGGAACCATAAAGTATATTGGAGAAGATTTTATACTTGTCTGGAGAAGAAGTTTTTAAGGCTCTGCGTAAAACCATCTTGTAATTTTTGTTCTCTAATTTGCAGACCTCAACTAGCTATGTTCCTATAACCTCCTTAGAACGCTTTTGGTCTTACCGGCACTTGTCTCCTTTAATTCTCTCTTCTCAGTAATTTACAAAATTAAAGAGATTTATTTATTAATTCTGAAATATATATGAGGTTGTCTCCTTCAGCTTCTGTTCTTGTGACTGAGTTAAAAAAGGGTTTTAAAATATCAGTCATAACTATCCGTTAGTCCCTAGATTGGGAATGTTCCTGTTGTTTTCGTGGCATATTTCTTTCTGCAGTTATAGAACAGGAAATCTGGTCGTCTCTTGGGGTGGGATTGCAGAGCCCAGAACCCCAGCCAGCAAACTGCCTTGTTCAATCATGCTTAGAACAGGTCGCTCTAATGATCAGGTGTGTAACCGATGAAGCTGTAGAGTCAGCACCAACCTTCGTGGGCCTCCAAGTGACTCCAGGTGGGCAGCACAGGGTTGGCCTGGTGGATGACCACAGGACGATGCAAGGCTGCAGCTGGCCTTCATAGATGCTCTCGTATCAGCTTGCGGTTGTCCAGTTTAGGAGAAAGGGAGCTGTGTTTCCTTGAAATGCAAGGTCAGCTGTGGTTGTTACAGCTATAACATATTTTGCTGGCTGATTTGTGTAGGAATTGTCTTCTCCAAGTACAGAAAAGCACATAGAAAACTAGTTGACCTGCGCCATCCCATGGAGGAGAAACAAATTAGGGCAGGGGGCTGGCTGCCTTCTTGGCAATTGCAAGACTCTTCCACGGATCGGCTTAAAGCTCTTGGTTCTGTCCTCCCCATCCCTAAATTTGTCTTTTCTGGTGGGTTCTTCAGAGCCACTGTGAGAGAAACGAACTCGATCAAGGTGAGGACCTCATCACCGTAACAGACTCTCCTGGCATCTGTCGGCAGCGGGTGGATGGATGGATGCTCGGCCGCCCTGCCTCGCACGCCCACTCCCCGCCCCCACCCCGTGTTTTGTGCCATTAATATTTGATCGTGTCCAAAAGTTGCAAGGGGCTCGTAAAAGCAAAAGCCGGGCGGCTTACGAAGTGAAAGCCCTGCAGAAAAGAAGGGGGGCAGGCGGAGGTTTAGGAGAAACTGGGCAGGGGG